TCAACCAAAATACGCCACTGCATTTAAATACAATGAATTTATAAATTATTATTTGCTTTAGTGTACGAAGTTAAGTAGGTACTCACCAGTTTATCATGATTATCTACAAGAGACAATATTACAACACAAATACACAACAATTTAAATTACATTAGGTACTTACTGGCTACTGCAGAGTACAGTCCTATATATATTATTTAGAAACCTATACTATATTCAAAATTAAATCAAATGAGAGTAATAATCGAATAAACGTAGGCACCAGCCTAAAGATAACAATTACTTATTCAAATTTCGCCACAGAAACCTACCGAAAGGACTTCAATGTGGATTATTGAGTTGTCTAGGTCGATGTCAATTATTTTCTGAGTTAATCGACTATAATGTTATACTTAAAACATTAATCTAATCGAATGATGATTATAATTCATGTTTCATAATATGTTTTCAATGATGAATTCGTAATTTTTTTATTGAGAATAGGTATTTGTCTAAATGTTCTAGATATTATGTAAAGTGGAGACTTCGCCCCCAAACCCACCTATATAGCCATATAATTCGTTATAATTGTATTTATTAACTATTTTAATAGATAAGATACAAATTGGAAAATTATGGTTTTTTAAGACGCAAAAATTAAATACTCAAGTAATAATTACTTAATTTATGTTTGAAAAATATGAAAATAATGTCCATCCATGCTTATTTTTGTTTGGCTCTATGTTTATTTTGATCGTTAAATATTAAATAAAATTTAGAAAAACACAAGACTACAAGATCACTAACCTGCGAGTGCTGCCGAGTTGTTTTAGAATTAATATTTTAATTTTATGATAAGGTAGGTACTATATGATAGACGCATGCGCAAATTATATATTATTAAGGGCGCCAATTCAAAACAAAATTATTTTAAGTTTATGTTTTATTGTTTTACCATATTAACCTTGACAGCAAATTTATGTTGCAGGTACGAATAAATCAATCAACTATTGTGATTGTTTAACCGTTCACTTTAAATAAACATGATTTGTGGTATATACTTGATGATATATTTATAGTAAAATATATACAGAGTGATTCACCATGTATATGTTCAATATACTCATCATTTTTTCAATAATTTGAATAATTTTGAATTAATGAATTTCATTAATTTCATTAAGAGGACGTTATACCCACATGTATTAATAATTGTCTCCATGTTACAAGTGCGTAACCTACCAAATTTTACGCTCAGTATTAACTAATAATCATTAATCACGTTTAGCTATACGTGCTGTGTTTAAAATTTAGAGTGAATTTAACTCTTATAAAAATTAAAGATAAGATTATTATCGAGGGCTTCTCATAGGCTTTTTATTATATTTTAATTTTAAAGCAAATTATGAATATTTTAAGATACACAAACAATTTACAATTTTAAAATACTCATTACTCGCTTTATGAAGCTCTATAGAAGCCCTCGATAATAATGTTACTTTTAATTGTTATAATAAGAGCTCAATTCACAGATCACTCTAAATTTTAAACTTAATCTGCTGAGTGTAAAATGTCCTGTTATACCTACACTTGTAAGACGGAGACAAGGACAATACAATAGTCATGCGGGTATAACGTCCTCTTAATAGAACCAGAATAGGTCTTAGAAATTTATCAAATCGTATAGTCGAGACTCGAGGGCGTAGGTATTATAAATGGCGCAAATGCGTAATGTGTTAAATAATTAATAATTCTGAAATATTTCTATGTAATATATAGTTTTAATTTGATTAAAAACCCACCAACTCAATTACCTACCTAATACCTATACCTAATTATTTAAATCTAAAATTCACATTAATGTTGTTGGTCGTTATAATAATAAGTGACAGAAAAGGCGATCGCGATGTTCGAAATAATAAAATCAAAGTAGTAGAGTTTGAAATGCAAACGTTATTTCGATTTCTGCGGTTATCGATCTAATATGTTACCTATTCATAAATCTATAAACACGTGTATATACGTATACATTACGTCGATGAAATATAATAGGTACTACAGATGTTGCTTATAAGTTATTTCATATTTCAATTAGGCATAATTATTATCATCACAATTAACTGGTATGTATACGTACCTCATCAAGACTGCCGAGTGCGAAACCGATCTGACCTGCCGGGTAAGTGGACACGTAAGACGTCGCGTACGCT